TGCCTGGAACCAAACCTCCACCTCACTTCCTGGCCACCAGCTCTAAGCCATTTCCAGTCCCTTTTCATCTTTATATGCTCTCTTCCCCCAGGAGAATATAAGCTCATTGAAGGCAGGGGCTAGTTTGCATCCTCAGAAGAGAACACAGTGCCTGGCACATAGTAAGCCCCTAAGAAATCTTCTATCTCTATATCGTAGTATGTATGTATATATGTATGTGTATGTATGTATGTGTATGTATGTATGTGTGTGTGTGTGTGTGTGTGTGTGTGTATGTATGCCCGTGCTCCTCACTCTCCCTCAGCCCTCATATTCAATCAGTTCCTGGGTCTCCTCATTAGTACCTTTCTTGCACCCATCTTCTCTCACCACACACACACACACACACACACACACACACACAACCTCATCACATCTCATCTGTAATACTGCAGTAGCCTCCTCCTAGCTCTCTCTGCCTCAAGTCTTTGCCCCCTCCAGTTCATCCTCCACTCAACTGCCAAAAGGATATTCCTAAAGCACAGACCTGATCTTGTCAATCCCCTGGTCAATAAACTCTGGTGAGTCCCCAGTACATCAGGCATGGATCCCTCTGTTTGACATGGAAGGGCATCCATCACCTGGCTACAACAGAACTCTGATACATTGCTCCCCTTTCACATATTCCAGGGTAGCCCCAGATTGGCCTTCTTGCTGTTCTTCACCCAGGAAGCTTCATTTCCCATCTACATGCCTTTGCCCAGGCTCTCCCTCATGCCAGGAATACATTTCATCCTCACCTGAGTTCCTGGGGCAGCTAGGTGGCACAGTGAATAGAGCACCGGCCCTGAAGTCGGGAGGACCCGAGTTCAAATCTCGACTCAGACCAAACACTTGACATGTACTAGCTGTGTGACCCTGGGCAGGTCATTTAACCACAATCACCTCACTAAAAAAAAAAATAATAAATAAAAAAGAATGGTTCACTACATTTAAGACATTTGCAAACTCCTGAATTTATGGATTATATTCAGGGAGGATAATTCATTAGGAAATGAAAAAAAAAAGAATCCCTGGTTCCTTCCAAGCCCCACCCAAATGCCATCTCCCACCCAAAGCCTTTCCTGAGCCAACCCCTCTGTTGTTTGTTGGTGCTCCCTCCCTCCTCCACTACCTTGTATGCTTATACACATTTTGTATATACATCCATACACATGGTCTCAACCAATAGCATGGAAGCTCCTTGAGGGCAGAGGCTGTGTCTTTACATCCCCAGAAGCTAGGACAGGGCCTGGCACATATCAGTAACTAAATTATAAATTCAGTTTGACCATTTTAGTGACATACTTTGAGTGATGCCTAGTGTCCAGATGAGATATTGCAGCTAGCTGAAAAGTAGAATACTACCTCTAAAGATTAGGTTGAGCCATTGGATAGAAGACAGGGTAGAATGAACAGTTCCAGTGCTCATAGGACCCAACATCACCACTGATGGTGAGGCTGGTCCTAGAGGGTGGGGTGGGTAGGGGGCAGGGCTTTGAACTTTCTGGGGACCTCCCTCCCTCAATTGACCTCATTCCATCCATTAATCCTCTTCCTGGATTCGTTCCTTCCTCAATGCTTCCACACTACTCTTTTTGAAGTAGCCCACAACCTGGATTCTGAAGGAGTGCCCACCTACTGGGCCACACCTAAACCAACTGTGGTGTATAACTTGTATATTATCGTGCCATAACAAATGGTGAAATGGCCAGTTTCAGAGGAAACTAAGATGAGAGGTGAAGGATGGGCTCTATGTGGCTTGGTAACCTGCTGCCTGCTGACGGTGATTCTGGACTGATGGAGCATGCTTGCTTCAGCAGCACATATACTAAAATTGGATTGATGCCCGAGAATGACGCCTGGATGCATTAAGCCCATGTCGATTGGCCTTTGAACTTGAGAGAGGAGACATCAATACAGGGATAAACCAGGATGCCAGAGGCCCAGTGATCTAGCATGCTACAGACTCAGGAGGCAGAATGAAACGTACCTTTTTGATCATGGTCAAGGTCAATGTGCAGATTTGTTTTACTGCACTTGGCATATTTTATAAATGTTAGGTTTGTGGGTATTTTTAATAGTTCAATGGGGGGGGTAGCTAGGTGTCACAGTGGATAGAGCAGCGGCCCTGAAGTCAGGAGGACCTGAGTTCAAATGCAGCCTCAGACCAAACACTTACTGTGTTTATAAGAGCTAAATTGGGTATACGACAAACAAAGAAAGGTGCTTATCATCTTCCCACTGAGAAAGCACCACTTCCTTGGGACCTTCCCATTCAGCCCCCAGGGATCTGGACCCTTCCCCACCATCCAACGTGATCCAATCCCACTAAGTGCCTCCTTGAGGCATGACCACTAAGTGCTCTGCATCTCAGTTTCCTCATCTATAAATGGAGGATAATAATGCCTCTAGTACAGAGGGTCTAAACCTTTTTTGTGTGTTCTGAATTCCTTTGGCAGTCTGTTGAAGACTAGGGACCCCTTCCCAGAATAATGCTTTTAAATGCATAAAATAAAACACATCTGATTACAAAGGAAACAACCAAAAGTTAGAGAAAAGAAAGATCTGACCCACCCTTCCCACTACAAATGGAGAGAGGCAGGGCTGAGGAGAAACAAATTTGCTTTTATTTAATCGATTTTACAGAGTTTGGATCAACAGTTGCATCAAAAGCTTTATAGATTGTATTTGTGAGTAAATAGCCTATTTTAGAAAGTTAATACTAATAGAGACTCATTCCCAAAACTATAAAAGAAAATGGGAGAAGGGTTAAGGGGATATTTGATTAGTAATCCAACCCCTCCCAGGCCTGTGATGTCTTCAGTACCCAAGGTAGCTCACCACTTGCTCTACAGTGCCTTAGAGAGTCGCCTGGGGCACTGAGAAGTTATGTGATGCCAAGATAGATCAGAGGCAGGTCTTAATCCAGGCATGACTGCCTCTCTGGTTAGGACTAGCTTCACTAAAATTAAACCCTCTTTGGGGTAAGCTTGGCCCCAAAGAAGAGATATAAGAAAGCACTTCTCCTGACTTTCTTTGCAGAGGTGGTAGAATATGGATGTGGAGCACTGCATATAATGTCAGCCTTTTGGGGTGTGTTGATTTGTTTTGCTGAATTGTTTGCCTTTTCTGTTTGTTTGTTTTTTCCTCCTCATAAGAGAAGGAACTCTGGCAGGGACAGGTATATTGGCAAATGTGAATGATGCAAGAATAAAAAGTATCAATAAAAATGCATTTTACAAAACTGAACCCAACAGGATTACTCAGCAGTAATTTCTAAGAGCTGAGAAAGAAGAGAATGGATAAAGAGGAGGGCAATATTGGGTGGGCAAGGTAGGAGAAGCTTTGCAGTGGGAGGATGGAAAGGATGTCTTAGACTTTCCAAGTGACTTTAGATTTTTCTCTCATTGTCCCCTCACTGCTTTACAGTTGCACTATACTAGGATAAGCATGAAGAGGGGAGGGGAGGATTTCTTGTTCTGTTGATTTTCTGCCTGGAATTTTCCTCCTTCTCAGAATCCTTAGCTCCCTTCAAAGTGGCTCAAGGACCACATGCTACTTGAGGTCTTTCCTGATCTGCTCTCCTCCATTACATTGTATTTACTTATATCTGCACATATGCTGAATTTATCAAGTAGACTGTAATCTCCCTAAGGGCAGGGACTATTTGGTCTTTATATTTGTATTCCCAGCACTCATGGAGCAGTGCTTGGCACGCATAAGGCATTTCATAATTGGTTAATTGGTTGATGGCTAGATTGAAGAGGAAAGGGAAGTTCTGATGATGAAGACTTCCTTCTTAGAATTGGCAAAGTCTCCTCACAGCCCTGGACAGGATGAGCCTTTTGCTCTAGGCCAAACAGAGGAGAAGGGAGGATGGCTTTTGGTATCTATGGAAAGTGTATTTTCAATAAGGGCTTAAATGCTTAAAGCAACAAACTGACAAATAGGTGGCACATTTTGGGCACTTTGGGGCAAGAGGCCAAATGGTGATACTAACTGCCTTGAGAAATAAGATAATAGGCCATAATTTAACTGTCATGTCTCACGGCTACCAAGATTGGAATTGGGGAACAAGGGTACAAAGAACGAACAAAAAGCAGCCCCCATGAAACTCGGGGACCTACAATGAGAGGGGAGGGCAGAGTTGGAGGCATTTTGTGGGGGTGGTTTTCTTCATTTTGTTCATAGGCACCAATGTGTCCTTTCTCAGAGCCTCTTACTGCCAGAGTTCTGAACTGGGCTTGCAGGCTGGAGCCATTGACCAGAGCCAAGGTGGATGGGCTGCTCCATTAGAAATACTACCTCTCACGAAGGCAAGCGATGTTTTCATATTTTCCCTAAGAGAATTCTAGCACATGGCTGGCTAGGGGGAAAATATATGGTGAGTGCATCAATCCAAATAGTTTCTCTGTTTTTTCTTGAGACTCTGGTTGCTGATATTAACAATTAGCTATACTGAGGGTTACGCAGTCCTTGGTATGCTTGGCTTTTAAATACCTGCAAGGCCAGTTCTCATTTCTAAGGCTTTTTGGCTTCAATGTATCAGGGATCAATGACTTCCCTAAGGTGGGCATGCCCTTCCTCAGTGGAGATCAAGGCCTCTCTCTAGCTGATGGTCTTTGAGATACACTATGGCTTACTGATGACATTAATGTGAGTCTCTGAATTTAGTGTTAGGCTAGTCTTTGGACAACAGGCATGTAATTCATTATCAGGCTTTTTTACTTATTATACTACCACTACTACTACTACTACTACTACTACTACTACTACTACTACTACTACTATTACTACTACTACTACTATTACTACAACCAATACTACTACTACTACTACTACTACTACTACTACCACCACCACTACTACTACCACTACTACTACTACTACTATGACTACAATGACTACTACAACTTCTACTAGTACTACTACTACCACTACTACTACTACTGTTGCTGCAGTTATTAATAATACCACTACTACTAATACTGCTAATAATGCTAACAATAATAATAATAATAATAATAATAATAATAAATGATAAAAAATAAAGAAATTGCTACATGAAACAACTATCAAGCTATTGGCAATTCTTGCCCCAAAAGGCTTGGCTATGGAATTATTGAACTATATCTATGACATCTTACTCCACGCTTTGGTTTTCTTCTTGGCCAAGGAGAACCAGGGTGGCTGGCTGGAGCTGTGGGACTGAACTAAGGCAGCTGAAAGGGCTGTCCTTTTCCAGCTTCAGACACCTGAGATGTCTCTTGCTCTCCACCCGGAATCACTGCAAACAACATATGAGTATAAGTCAGAAGCTGCTGATATGACTGAGTCACAAAGCATGGATAACTCTTCCCCATTCTCAGGTCCCCTTGGGTCTCTACACCTTCTTAATGCCATCTCAAGTCCTTCCCACTTCAGTGGAAGCTCAGTCATTGGTGGTATGTTAGGTCTGAGCCTCAGTTTCCTCATTTGTAAAATGGGAATAATAACCACATCTACCTTACAGGCTTCTTATGAGTTTCTAATGAAATACCATATATAAAGAACTTTACAAACTTTAAAACACTATATAAATGCTAGGTATTATTATTATTGAGAGATGATATAGTATATTCAAAATCTGGTCTCAGAGCCAGAAAGACCTGGGTTCAAGGCCCACCTCTGACATATACTAGGTATGTGAGCCCAAACAAATCCCTTAACAAGCCTCAGTGCTCTAGACAACTCTCTAAGGCTCTAAGTTGCAGAGAAGGTACCAATCTGCATTGCTGGAGGGACGTTCCTTACCTGGGAGTTCCCTATCATAGCAGTTCTCAATGTATTATCTGAGGATCTCGAAGGCTCCTGTAACCCTTTTGCAGGGGGAGGATGTCTGCAAGGTCAAAACCATTTTCAGAATAACACTAAGATGTTATTTGCCTATTAAAATATCCCTCCCTTTGCTAACTACATATCTGTGAAGCCAGATTTTCTTCATATACTTCAATCAAAACAACATATTGCAGAAGGCAGAAGCAGATAGGAGACTCCAGCTGTCTTCAATTAAGCCAGACATTAAAGAGATTTGCATAAATATGTAAAAACAGTGCCACTCTTCATTCTCAATGTTTTTATTTTGGAAAATATAGCTATTTCATCAAAATATGTTATTTATGTTAACATATAATGGATTTATTAATAAACATTATAAAAACTTCTCAGGTATAATTTCTAACATGGCAAATTCCGATAGACAAAAACTCTTTTGGGTCCTCAATAATTCTTTTTTGTTGTTGAGGCAATGGGGGTTAGGTGACTTGCCCAGGGCCACACAGCTAGTAAGTGTCAAGTTTCTGAGGCCAGATTTGAACTCAGGTCCTCCTGACTCCAAGGCCAGAACTCTATCTACTACACCACCTAGCTGCCCCTGGTCTTCAGTAATTGTTAAGAAATCTAAGATCCTGAGACAAAAAAGGTTGAGAATCACAGCTGCCCTATCCCAGTGAAATCAAAGGTCCAGGAGCAGCTAGGTGACACAGTGAATAGCGCACTGGCCCTGCAGTCAGCAGGACATGAGTTCAAATCCAGCCTCAGATGCTTACTAGCTGTGTGCTTATTAGCTGTGTGACCCTGGGTAAGTCACTTAACCCTGTTTGCCTCCAAAAAAAGAAATCAGAGGTCCAATAGCTATCCCCTATTATAGTGACGACAGAGAAGGCTTTGAGAGACAATTAGCCCAGGACGAGGAAGAAAATGATGGTGATAACCAATTGGGATGTAGGCCTCCAAGAGTAAAGCTCAGGACACAGGAAGTCCAGCAAAGTCATAAGCTTATAGGCCTAGGGCTGGATGGGCTCTCAGGGGTCATCTAGTCCAGAGAGTATCAAACTCCTGAGTTTGCTTAGAGCCAGATTAAAAGGGAATTGGGGAATGTTGAACAAAATAAATAAAAATACAATACAACATAGACAACGTTAACTTGTGGTTTTCTAAGTCAATATGCTGGGAGCAGGGAACAGTTTCTATTTGAGTTTGACACCATTGATCTAGTCCAACCCTCTCATTTTACAGGTGAGTAAACTGAGGCCCAGAGAGGTGAAATAACATGCCCAAAGCCACACAGGACAGCAGGTACTCTTAACTTTTGAGCAGCAGCAAATCATTTTTTATCAGAATGTACATCTCTGCTTACTTGCAGTTTTGAACATAGCCTGAGGTGCGAGAGTGTCAGGGCAGTAATTTGACATTTTTAGAAGTTCAAATAAAGGACAATTATTTTTCTTTTAAGAATTTTATGACATCTCTGGAGAGAAACCCAGAAACAAGTTTGTGTTAGCTAAGGAGTACTGCACCAAGCTGGTATGGAAGGGAGACACTTCTGTGCTCATCATATGTCCATCTGAATCTGTGTTTCTTAGCCCCCGGACACAGAAAAGGAGCTAGCCCTCATTTTCCAGGTTTTTTATTCTGTTCATCATCCATTCCGTGCCTGATTGGCTCAGTGGTGCTAACGAGGTCAATAACAGGGGTCAGTGTGAGCTGGTTAACTTTGCTGCTTTATATCTACAGACTACGCCAAGCTCCCTAGGGTACTGGCTCATATACTCATCATACCCTAGGGCACAACGGGTCCAGACAAGAGGGTGTAGATGGCTCCTGCAGATCCATCCCCACTACTGGACAAACCACTCCCAGGACATTCCCAGTGCTGCTGACAGTGGGTGAGTAGGTCAAAAATGCCTTTGTTTTCACATATATGAAAGACCTTTTTCTGTAATTTCTTTTGTTTCTTAGACCACTACTCAAAGCAACACCAAACATCTTAGATAAACCTCTCAAAAAGTTTGTCAAACACACAAACTTAGCTCAACACCGTAAGCCTTTGCAGACCGATCTTTCTCAAGGGTAAGAGAACAGTTGAGAAGTTATAGCTTGGTACGAATGGAAAGAGTGGGTGGTGTGCATATGTGTAAGCTGGAGAGAGGATGTTACATGTGTGGTATCAAGGGTTAGAAACAAGCTCTTTATCAGCCATCAGAAAATAGTCATATTTGCCAAGTTGTAACTTAAAAAAGAGATGCAAATGAAAATATGGGCAACATATTGGAATTATCCAAATCTGCAAAGGGTAAACTGGTGATTTCCTACTGTATATCTCAGTCATCTGAGCCTATACTCCCTTGATGGTCACGAGTTTATGCCTGTAGCCTACTGGTCAGGAAAGGAAAGTGTGGGAAGACCTCACCGAAGTGACAAAGAGGCTGGTATTAATCAGGCCATGGAGTATTTCTAGCACAAGCTATGTCCTGTGTATGTCAAGTTCACATTTGATATCTAAGTGTAAGGCTTGACATTTATCACTACTTAATTCTACCTTATTTGATTTGGCTCATCGTGTTAGCCTAGTGAGATCTTTTTGCTTTATGACTTTCTAATCCAATGGGTTAGCTATCCTCTTCAATTATCAAACTGTTTGATAAGCCTCCAAACGCTTAGATGAGGCCTTATTATATGCTTGGCCCCAGAGGCCAGAACAAATAGGACCAATGGGGTAAGTAAGCTATATAGAGGCAGCTTTGGCTCAATATAAGAGGAACTCTGTTAATCATAACTGTCTCAAAATGGAATGGGTTGCCTCAGGAGGTAATGAACTCCCCAGCACTGGGGTCATTCAAGAAGAAACTGAACTTCTGACAACTTGCTGGGGATGTTGCTTCAGGTAGAAGGTTGTAATAAATGACCTCTGAGTTCCTTAAAACTGATTTAGGTTGTGGGGAATGTACAGGGTGTCCCTGCAAGCTTCAACTTGCACTAAGACTTTTGGGATGCCCCATATGTAGAGATTTTAGTCATGTTTTGCCAAGAGTATTTTTACCCATTATGGCAGAAACAGCACCCTCCATACGTGGTGCCTCTTCTGGCTTATGGGTGTTGGGAATGTAATTCTTTCTTAGTTGGTTTTCTACTTCAGAATAAGCTTTCTTGAATACACAATGAGGACAGAGAGCATTTCAGTTAGAAAAGCATGAACCCAGTAAGGACTGACAGGCAATAAGTACTTATTCAGTGCCCAGGGGGAGGCAAAACCCTGTCCTAGGCACTGTGACTCCTGTAGTGATAAGAAAAAGAATAAAAAACATCATTCATTTAGACTCTACTCATTTGGAATCAACAATAACTAGAAGGACTTGGGCGGAATTTTATCTTCATCTGACCTATGAAGGAAGGACTGGCTAGCAAATGGATGAGAAATGAATGAAGAGTGTCAACAAACGTACAAAAGAACCATTGGACCTACTGAAGAGAAGACTGGTTTCCAGGTCTTTTAACCGCATCTAGTTTCATACAGCCTAAAAGTGGCGTAGTAGATTGAGTGCCGCACTTGGAGGCTGGAAGATCTGAGTTTAAATCCTGCCTCAGCCACTTGCTAGCTATGTGACTCTGGGCAAGTCACATCACCTCTCTCAGCCTCAGTTTCCTTCTCTGAAAAACTGAAACTTCTTTGAGAGTAAGGATTGTTTTTATTATTAACGACAATGGAATCTCATCTATGCTTCCAGTTGTCAGAGAATCTATGTTTCCAGTTGTCGGAGGGATCTCTACATAGCAAATGCTTTTTTAACATCTAGTCTAAATCACCCTTTGCATTTAAAAACTAAACAAAGGGGCAGCTAGATGGTGCAACAGATAGAGCTCCCGCCTTAGAGTCAGGAGGACCTGAGTTCAAATCTAACCTCAGACACTTGACACTTACTAGCTGTGTGACCCTAGGCAAGTCACTTAACTCCATTGCCTCACCAAAAAGATAAAAAAAAAATTTAAATAAAAATGAATCAAAAGGTATTTCTTTGTTTAAAAAGCACCCTATCATTCAAAAATTTCCATGGTTCAAATACTTATTGCTGAGAAAGGTCACTGGTGTAATGGAAATACTGAGAATAAAGAGATCGTGAGTAGAAGCTTAACTGCTCACTAGCTATGTGACCCTGAACAAGTCCCTTCCCCTCTCAAACCCAATTCTTTCCTCTATTAAATAAGAGAGTTGGACTAAATGGTCTCTAAGATTCCTGCAATTCTATCAGTCGGTGTTCTGATTAGTCCCCACAGTTCATGAGATACTGGCCCTCTCCACATTCTGATGAAAAAGAAAACTTGGAAATAAAGGGCTTCTCCTGTCCTATCTCCTATGCATGGCTCCTTGTTGAGAGGAGTAAGATTATGACATAGATAAATCCAGACAAGTCTCTTGATCAACGAGTCAATTTTTCCTGGGATTGGTCTGCTATGGTAGTGATTGTTGGTTGTTTCCCACCCTTTATGACCCCCATTTGGGGTTTTCTTGGCAAAGATGCTGGAGGGGTTTGCCATTTCCTTCTCCAGCTCATTTCACAGATGAGGAAACTGAGGTAAACAGGGTGAAGTGACTTGCCCAGGGTCACATAGCTATTAAGCGTCTGAGACCAGATTCAAACTCAGGAAGACGAGTCTTCCTGACTCTAGGCCTGGTGCTCTGTCTACTGCAGCACCACTTACCCTGCCCATGTTGGGGATGAAGACTTATATATACGATGAGATGGGGACCAGGACTGAATATCCAGGCCCCTAAGCCCACTGTGCTATCAGCAAACTCTGTTATATCATCCATCCCAGTTTCTATAGCAACCAAGAGGTGAGTCCTACTTTAAACATATATGATATTTTTAAAAAATCTAAACTTACTGTATCACTAATTATGCAGGTGATATACATTTTATATTGCAGGTGGTTCAATAATTCACATTATGGGATGGGTCTTTGCACGTGAGTCTGCAGAGATCAGCAGAGTAAGGCAGTAGATAAAGGAGGGGGGGGGGGATCAAGAAGACCCGAGTTCAATGTCCAGCTGACACATACTTGCTTTGAGATCCTAAGCAAGTTGGGTAGCTTCTCAGGCCCCCCAAGTAACTCTAAAACTACAAATCACAGAACTATGTTGGTGGAAGGAGTTTCCTTATTGGAAGTCCTCTATACCAGTTAAATTACAAGTATGGACTAATTTAAAAAAGAATGAATTCAAGGTTCCTAAAAAAAAGCACCTTCTCCTAGTTTGGGGGTTCTTAACCTTTTTGTATGCCATGACCCGCTTTGAGTAGACTGGTGAAACCTATAGACCCTTTCTCATAATAATGGTTTTCAGTGCATAAAATACACAAGATTAAAAAGAAAATCAATTATATTGAAATAAAGATATATTTTCCCACCTAAATTCACAGATCCCCTAAAAGCTATCCATGAACCCTGTGGACCCCAAGTTAAGAATCCTTGCCCTAGTGGATTGAAGGCAGGAGTAGATTTGCCAAAAAACAAACAAAGCCAATATATACACATTTGTGTAAAATACTTTTCAAGGATACATTGACTGCACAAAGTCAAATACACCTATATTCATGGCAAAAGACAAGCAGCCAGTTCAAATGTCTGGCCCCACAAAGGCCCATGGCCTCTACTAGGTATGCAAGGAAGTGCTGAGCCAGGCAAAGTCAATCAACTAATCAATGAGTGTTTATTAAGCACCTAAGTGCTGGGCACTGTGCTGGACGTACAAAGACATACACATAGAAAAAATAAAACAATTTCTACTCTTGAGGAGGTTATAGGAATGAGCAAATGAATAAATGAATGAATGGGGAAAAGCCTAAGTGCCCATGACGTGCTGAGAATAAGAAGACCTAAGTCAACTGCCTGTTCCCTTAAGGAATTTACCTCCTGCTGGGGGAGAGATCTATGAATGGGAACATATAAGTCTAGAACAAATGGAAGGTCATTTTCGAGGGGATGGTACTCTGCCTGTGATTGAACCAGCAGGCAGTGATTTCTTGCCCCCAATTTCCAGGCTATGTTTCTCCTCCCCCTAGAATGTTTCCATACCTCATCAATATAGATGTTAGTTGCTTCAGCTCCAGCTTTGTTCTGAGAGACAAGTTCTTTGGCCAGAAGATATCTCCGGAAGACTTTCTGCTTTTGCTTGGCCATCATGACCCACACAGGTTCAGAGAGGTCAGAGCTGCATTGGGCAGCAGCGGCCTTTTCTGAGGAAAAAGAATTGAAGGAGCTTAGAAAAAAGACGAGAAATCTAGGCTTCCATTCTTGGACCCTGGTCCTTTGTTAAAAAGCTGACCCTCCAGAAAAAGGGTTTAATGCTCCTTTAATGCTCATCCCAATGGAGAGGCTTCTAGGGCAGTAATTATGCCCCTGCATCTGGACAATATTAGACTTTGGCTAAAAAAATTGTTTCAAGTGGCACCATTTCTATGACCCATTCTGCCTGTCACCGAATCAAGCTGGGGCAACTTGGTCTCCCTATATGTAAGCTGAGCACCTTAGACTAGCTGAGCCCTCAGGCCCCTTACAGCTCTAACATTATTTGGCTGCTGCCAAGCCTCCTGGGCCAAGTGCCAGGAGGTCAGGGCCCAGGATGTTTCCACTCCCTCCTTCTCTCTCCTAATGGAAAAGGGGATGTGACATGATTCTGTCCTAGGCCAGTGGGCGCAAGTGGGGCAGAGACTGAGCAGGAGGGTGCCTGAGAGAGGCCAGGACCTAGAAGGCCCCAATTGTTCTGGATTCAGCTAGGGGAGCCTTGGCAGTCAGACCCCACTCAGAAACAAAGCCAGGCAATGCAAATCAGCAAGTGGAAAACGCACCTTTTCCATCTCTCTTCTCTAATTGACTGTTGCCTCAGATGGCTGAAAGCATAATCCTAAGAACTCATGCTACAGTTACAAAATCCTTTACCAACATTATCTTATCTTAGCCTCACAAGGACACTGTGATGTAAGCAGGGAAAGTATTATTCCCATTTTACAGATGAGGAAGTTTAATGGCCATGAAAGCATTTGGGAAAAATCCAAAGTACTTTGGCAGTGGGAGAACCAGCTTGATAAAGCAAGCATTCCATGGCAATGTCAAAATGTGGGTATGTCTAGGAAGATTAGAAGAGACAACATTTATAGAGAGCTTTACAGTTACAATGTGATTTACATATGTTATCTCATTTGATTGGTGATATGAAAATAGTGGTGGGGAAAGTGGAGGCAGGGGTGGGGGAGCAAGAAAGAGCCCTGGATTACAAATCAAAAGACCTAAATTCTAATCTAGGTTCTGCCACTACCTTGCTATGTGATCTTGGGCTCTTTTCTCCCAGTGGTTGGCTAAGCCAAGATAAGGTCTCACCTAAAGGCACTTCAGCACAGGGCTGTCTGTCTTCATTTTCTAACTTGAGATTGAAGAGAATGTCTTTCAGACATTCTGGACAGAAATCTGAGGGCTCCTGTCCAGGCTCGTTAGCTGCTTTGGGATCCTCCTTTATTACGGAAGACAGACGAGAAAACTCTGGTTTCTTCCTGGTCAGACTCAGGGAAGAGTTGATCCTTTTCAGGCGGACCCCAAATGGGTTCTCGAGGTTGGAATATTCTTGGAAATTCAGGTCTCTCTCAAAACCTTGGAATGCCTTGTAAGATGCTTCTTGTTTCAGTGAAAATGAAGAACTGCTAGCCCAGGGCTCTTTCTTAGACTTGGCTGCCAGGCCTGAGGCTTCTGGCAAAGACTTTGGCCAGTCAGGGGTCACAGTGAACCTCACAGACTTGGTGGCTGGGGCAAAGGGCTTCGGAAGAGTGTGAGCAGCAGCTTGAGCACTCTCTGGAGCTGAAGCCTCTGGTGGTAAGGAACCGTATGTCTGGGCTTCTGATTCATCGTAGTGTGCTTCAGCTAATGACTTATCATTTAATAGATTCTGCCAAGATGCTAAATGACCTTTTGGAACCTCGCTCTCTAGGACAACAGGGACCTCCCCATGTGCTTTGGGGACTGGCTTGGTTCTGGCTACCAGACCAAATGGAGACTCAATTTTTGGCTTCTCCATTGTAGAAAATTTCTCTGTGTTGAATGTCATCTTTCTGGAAGGCTCAAAAGTAGCAGTGGTAGAATAGCCTTTGTGAGCAGAATACTGATTCTCATTGCCTCTTCGGCTGCCCAGGGAACCTCCATTGGAGTCAGGGAAGAGTTTCAGCAATGGTGCCCATTTGCGTTCTACAGGTATGGTATCACTCCTCTTTTCCAGGCTGAGAAAATAGGAAGGGATGTCCCAAGATGATCTTCGTTCTGAAGGTCTGGACATCCCGATGACTTTACATTTGGGGAAGCGTGATGGGAAGATGGGTTCCCTGGAAAGGTCTTGGAAAGGTCTTGATGCTGTATTGTCTTTGATGAAAAAAGGACTCATTTGCCTAGGCAGGACTTTTGGTCTGGAGGCTGCCTCAATATTAGCATGAGAGGATTCTGAAGGGCTGGCCCTCTTTTGCCCAGAGGTGGTACCAAGAGCTACAGCTCTCAGGTGACCTCGCTGTTTGGCCCTATTGGATCTGGGCACCAGGTCTGGCATGATCATAGAATGACTCTCCTTGTCACTGCTGTGGTCTGAGACAGAAGGACCTGGGCCTGGAGAGGAAAGGAAGACATGAATCGTTTGCGCTTTAGCTTCCACTTAGTAAGGCTGTTCTGAATAAAATTCTGGTCCCTAATGTTAAGAGACTGCTCTTTAGCAGACACAGAACACCTCAGTCAACAGCACTCTGCCTCTGGAACTAGAAACCAAAGGAAGTCCATGTAGAACAGCATCTGGCCACCCACCCTCCTGGTCAATGGTCTCATACACACACACACACACACACACACACACACATCAGAGCAGAGCTAGGACATTCTTCCTGTAGAATGGTACTAACTTCCTGGTACCAAACATGTGGTACCAGCTCAAGGTCTAGGGCTAACCCAAATCAGTGGCCATATGATAAGCATCCTTTCCCTTTCCTCTCTAGTCTTTTTCGTTGGCTGGGACTGCTCAGCTCAGCTGGTTAACAAATAGATCTCCCAAGACCAAGGACTGAGCCTGCCTGCCTCCAGGGGCTCGAATGCTTGATCCCAGGCTCCAACCCTAATCTTAACCAACTATCTCCCAAATGAACCCTCATGAGTGGCAAGGTGGGTAGGGGAAAGGAAAAACAAAATTCAATTGATGTTGTAGCCCAAACTTACTCCCCCAAATTAGGGCATGTGTGTGTGTGTGTGTCTGTGTATCTGTGTGTATTCTGATGGCACTAAGTCAGGCATGTCATCTATAAGTCTTGGGTTAGGTGGAGGTGGGGACAGGTTCCTGATCATTTCCTTTCAAGGAATTTTGTTCTTAAGGAATTAAAAGTTTAAGTGCAGAGGTCAAATCCCACTATGGTGTACTCCAAGAAGTGTCTGGATTCACTGGGATTTTGTTGAATGAAATATTGTCTAAAGTAAGTAGGTCATGGGGCTTAGAGATCTCCCCCCCCCCCAGTGCTTTTTCACCGTCCTGGCATTTCCCATCCTGTGCTCTATCCACCATGGCTCCACCACTAGCTATCAAAGCCCTCCTTCTCATCCAGAAGTCTCAGAATCAGTCTCACCCTTACCAAGACCATTTCTCTCCCCTTGGAAAAGGAATTGATCTGAGTGTTCTCCTCAACCTTCAGTGGCTCCCTCTAAGATAAAATACAAACTCTTCAGGCTGGCATTTAAAGCTCTGCACGACGTGGCTCCCACCTACCTTTCCAATCTTACTTCTTTTGTTTTTGTTTTTGTTTTTAGGCAATTGGGGTTAAGTCACTTGCCCAGGGTCACACAGCTAGTAAGTGTCAGGTCTGAGGCCAGATTTGAATTCCGGTCCTCCTGACTCCAAGGCTGGAGCTCTATCCACTGCAGCACCACCTAGCTGCCCCCTCCAATCTTACTTCTTATAACCTTTTAAGCATTCTCCATTCCAGCCAAACTGACCTGCGGCGCTTCATATTCCCTATTCTATCTCCGGTCTCCAAGCCTTTGCCTCTCCCAATGCCTAGAGCCATAGCTAGCATGGAACAAATAGGGACACACTTCCTCTTCCCTGGCAACTGCCATTCCTGCACCTTAACTCAAAGGCCAACAGAGACACAGGATGCATCTGTCCCTTTGGCCTCTCTGGGGAATGAGGTTACCTTCACCGAGAGCATGTGCACTCAGGTTCAGAAATCATGAGTTGGAAAGGACCACAGAGGTCATTGAGTTCAACCCCCTCATTTTACAGAGGCTCAGCAAGGTAAAGTGACTTTGAGAGCCCCCTCATTATAAAAAACTCCTGAAGAGCCAGAGTGATATAGAAAGGGTGCCAGATTTATAGTCAGATGACTTGGGCTCGAATCCTGTCTCTGCCACTAAATACCTAAATGACCTTGGGCAAGTCACTTCACTGGATCTCTGCACCTTGCTTTCCTCATCTGTACAGTCTTGAAGCAGATGGCCTCTGAGGTCCCTTCCAATTCTATATCTGTGAACCTGTGAATTTTCCCCAGGTGTATTTCCACGTGCAGAATACACTCCTCTCCAGCCTTTGAATGTGTACAGCTCAGGGGCCCACTTCCTTACGTGAACCTACCATGACCCCAATTGTTGGTATCTTCTACTGCCCTCAAAATCCCTTTGCACTTGTATGTACTGTACGTACTTTTCTGTGAAGGGGAATGGAAACTCCATGAGGCAGGCATTGTTTAGTGTATGCCACATTGGAACAATACATTTTACAATGAGTTGGATGCCAGCTCTGTACTTTTCTGGTCTAGAGGGGCCCTGCTGTCTAGGGCAATCACCAGCACATCTCAGTTCTCAGGACTCCCTGCAGCGTTCACAATGTGCCTCCTGAGCCCTGGGGAAGGGATTTGAAACTGTGGGACTGAAAATTCACATTCAGCAAGGCTTGCATCCCTAACTATACCTGAGCTACATCAGTGACATGTGCCCCCTCCAATTGGTCTGTTTTAATAATAATAGTAGTGGCAGCTAGGTGGCCCTGCAGTGGATAGAGCTCCAGCCCTGGAGTCAAGAGGATCTGAGTTCAAATCTAGCCTCAGACATTTGACACTTCCTAGCTGTGTGACCTGGGGCAAGTCACTTAACCCCAATTGCCTCACCAAAAAGCAAATAATAATAATAATAATAATAATAATAGTAATAGTAATAAGAACAATGACATCTAGCATTTATACTTGGTGACTTTAGGTTTACAAAGCACTTTATAAATATTATCTCATTTGATCCTTACAGCAACCTGGGAGATAGGTAGGTACTATTATTGTCTCTACTTCTCAGATGAGGAAACTGAGGCAGACAGAAGTAAAGTGACTTGCCCAGGGTCACAGAACTAGAAAGTGTCTGAAGCCAGATTTTAACTGGAGTCTCCCTGACTCCAGGCCACTGCAGTGCCTTCAGACTTAGATTGTAAGCTCTCAGAGGACAGGACCTGAGTCTGGGAGATGCTTTCTTCAAGGCATTTATCAAAGACCACACACAAGCAGATATTTAACAAACACTTTGGGTGATGCGGAGGAAAAGGAGGAGGAGGAGGAAGAGGAAGGGGAGGAAAAGGAGAACAAAGATGATAGAGATGACTACCTTGAGAGTCTCCAGCCTTCTGGTTCCCCTTTGCTTGCTGGTCATTACCACTCTCTCCTTCAGCCCTTGGGACACTTGCCTGTGCCCCCTTTTCCTTTTCTTTTTCCATCTGAAACAGGAAAAAAGATTGGATCAAATTGAGTATTATTCACTCTGCTCTGCCCAAGTAAGAATGAAGATTCAAGTTCAGAGACAAGACCTTGATAGTCCATCGACCATTCTTGTTACACATACCACTGATAGTGAGAAAGCTTTCTGATGTACTTTTTGGGGCTGGGGGGGGAGGGGGGAGGGGCGGGGCTAGACAATGGGGTTAAGTGACTTGCCCAGGGTCACACAGCTAGTAAGTGTTAAGTGTCTGAGGCCGAATTTGAACTCAGGTCCTCCTGACTCCAGGGCCAGTGCTCTATCCACTGCAGCATCACCTAGCTGCCCCTTCTGATGTACTTTTAAAACAGATGTTCTGGGACCTGCTCTCTGAGTATCATGCTGCATACCTGTAACCCCTGAGGCTCTGCCGAAAGGCACAAATCTGGTAACAGCATAAACAAGTCCGATAAAGGACACTTCCCTAGTAAGCAGGGGCTTCTCAAATCTGAACAACTGCCAGCCTCTTGGCTTCACTTTAGGGAATATAGTAAAAACACAAGGCCTCCCAAAAGGCTTACTGCAGTTTTAACCTTTAATAGCTATTATAAACAGTGTCTTTCCAAGGAAAAACTGATGAGGAAAGAGAATTGGGGTTTTAGTGGAGGGAGGACACGAAAGGTCTAATCCAGGGGTGTGGAACCTGCAGCCTCAAGGCCCCATGTGGCCCTCTAGGTCTTCAAGTGCAGCCTTTTGACTGAATCCAAACTTCACATCTGATCCTTAGAAATAAGAGGGTGAGAGGCAGCTAGGTAGTGCAGTGGATAGAGCACCGGCCCTGGAGTCAGGAAGACCTGGGTTCAAATCCGGCCTCAGACACATAACACTTACTAGCTGTGTGACCCTGGGCAAGTCACTTAACCCCATTGCCTAGCCAAAAAAAAAAAAGGAAAGAAAAGAAATAAGAGGGTGAAATTGCTTTGGTCCCAGATATCCCAGTGCACGAGGCAGTCACAGTACCTGTTACCCTTAGAAGTCTTTGGCAGCATGGATTTGAAGATAAATTAGCACCCCCATCAGCCTTCAGAATAAATGTACTCACAGAGAAAGATAGTTATAAAAGAATGTATTAGCAATGAATGGGAAATGTGCTTCACCACTATCCATGGATACCAGTTTAACCAAGCAGTCAGTGGCAAAGTCACCAGAGGAATACATTTCGGTTTACTTGAGCCATACTGAGTCCATTTTATAGGGTTACACTGAGATGTTCCACTGGCCTAGGAAATGGCCTATTTTTCATTTTTACTACTTTGTATAGAATTGTTTCCTTTATCTAACATTGCACTGTCCTGGGTAAATTAAGTTTCTAGATAAGTGTAGCTTTCAAAAAACAGAAACAAAACATTTTTATGTTAACTGTTTTTATAGCAAATACATTTACTAAGTGCATCATGATTAAAAAAAAGTACTTTCACACACATTATCTCATTTGGATAGAAATTGTGCTTTTTTTCTTATCAATTTTTTTTATTCTAGACTTCAGCATCCCCCAAAAAGGGCATTTCCGTACGCATAGCAGAACACACACAAAAAGGATTTTTCATGAAACTGTGAATCACCATTTCACACTTGCTTTTGCTTTAAAAAAAAAAACAGTAACATAGAATCAATTTTGCAGTTCTTTCAAAACCATCCTGCTTATCTATGCTAAATAGAAATCTTTCTAAAATGGGTTACACAAACTTCCTCTCTCCTCGAAGCAAGAAACTGGGGGACTCTTAGAGTAGAATGCTATGCATGAATGAATGAATGAAAAGGCATTTATTAAGTACTTTCTATACGCAACTGGGGATACAAACAGAGCAAAAAAAAAAAAAGAGGGGACACAAACAGATATGCCTGATTCTCAAGGTGCTCACATTCTAATGGGGAGACAATACCTAGGAAGTTTCAGTTACAAGTCAGATGGAAAAGCCCCCTGGTCTTTAGGGCACAACAACAAAGCAGATGGTAATATACATCATATTAATATGTGTGTGTCTGTGTATACATATGCATAAACACACAACGTGTCCCAAAAGGCTTAGTGAAGCTTTATTATTATTATGTTTTAGCCCAAAGTTTTTATTAAAGGTTCAAATTTCACTAAGCCTTTTGAGACATCCGGTATCCAGTCAAACATGATATTTTTACTTAATTTTTTTTTTTGTCACAAGGAAAGTTTTGAGGTAAAGGTGGGAGCAGGGAGGAACTGGTATCTCCAGAAATGACTGTGATGTAAACACAAGAGGCATCAATAAAACATTTTAATAAATATTCTTCACTAAGAAAGAGAAAATAAAGTATATCAAATGTTTTACACTTCCCTGCCTTCTATAGCATAGACTGAACATCATTAATCTTTTACTTGATACAAGGCAGATAGGTGGCTCAGTGGATAGAGTTCTGGGGCTTAGAGTCAGGAAGACCTGAGTTCAAATCTGGCCTCAGACGCTTACTATCTGTGTGATCCTAGGCAAGTCACTTCACTCCTGTCTGACTCAGGTTCCTCATCAGCAAAATGGGATAACATTAGCACCTACTTCCTAGGGTTGTGCTGAAGATCAAGTAAAATTTGTAAAGCACTTAACATAGTGTTTGGCACATAGTAGGTGCTTTAGAAATTTGTATTCCCTTCCCCTTCCCTTGATACGGTTATCATCATGTACTTCCATTACTGTCCTGCCCTCAGTGGTGGAGAGCTAGCTATTTGCCCCTAAGATGAATGGTCCCAGGATACTCTGTTGTTACTTCTCAATGGGGTCAGTAGGTCTTTGACTCTGCCTTGATGCCTTATTTTACCCAAATAAACCCAGAGTATAAAGTGCATCGGATGTGTGACAGGTGTTCACTCCCCAATCTGCACCCCCACCCCCTTTTTCAAATTTACCTTTGGGGTTCACTTTAGCATGATAGATGGTTGCAGTTGCCCCAAACTTGACCAATGGATAAGTGGGGATGAGAGGGGCTTCACTGCATTTTGTGACTTATGCAATGCCCTTTGACAACCTCCGCAACAAAGATCGGGCACGTTCTCAGATGCCAAAGCCCTCAAGAGACTTCTACTTCCTGTACTGGTCCTAGCTCTAAGAGTTGCCAAAGTCGAGGTTACCCACACCTAACAAATCAATGCCTGACTCCCCACTTGGGGAGTCCAAGCCAGGTCAGGGCCTAAGGCCAGCTCCGTCCCCTTGTTACCTAGCCCTGCTCATTGGCCTATTTCCTGGGCAATTCCCACCAGCTCTAGTGGCTGGCTCAAGGGTGTTTCTGGAGCTCTGGACATGTCTTTCTTTGTGCATGGGTGCCAAACCACCCACAATTGAGCACTTACCCTTGCCCTTTGTAGCTCCCTTTTCATTGTTTGTTTCCTCGGGTTCAGTGCCATCTTGTGTCGAGCAGCTGAGGTGTCCAAGCAACCCAGGGGGTTGGCTGTAGTACTGAAATCAATGGGGAGCTCACAGCTGGTCTGAGAGGCAGATGTGGATGAGTCTGGTGCCGATGAGGAACTCTAAGGCAGAACACAACAGAAGCATGCTGTTCTCACTATGTGCTCCCCCAGGACTTCATTTTGTGACACGGCCTGGCACATAGTAGGCACTTAATAAATGCTTGTTGGTTGATTGGTTGCATCATGAGCCTTCTGAACCTGGGAAGGACTCATCGTGAGATAAAAGACTATCCCCAGACCTGGATCTTCTGGCATCTGTGTGAGTATAATCAAGGATTATGGAATATCCGAGACTTAGGGCTTGAAGGGCATTAGGAGTCAGCTAGTCAATCAATAAACCAGCATTTATTAAGCACTGAGTATGTTCCAGGCACTATATTTATTAGGGTTTGTTGTTGTCTTTCATTCTTGAAGAGCATCAAAATGACATCACTATGTTGGGGTCAAGATACAATGTGTTCAACTGTGGCTGATCAAACCAATATACAAGCTCAGAAGGCTCTGCCACAGGTCGGGCACAAATAGCCCACATAGGGGCAGCTAGGTGGCGCAGTGGATAGAGCACCGGCCCTGAAGTTAGAAGGACCTGAGTTCAAATCCGGCCTCAGACTAAACACCTGACACTTGCTAGCTGTGTGACCCTGGGCAAGTCACTTAACCCCAATTGCCTAAAAGCAAAAAAACAAACAAACAAAAAAACCAAATAGTCCACATGAACCTTTGGAGTGGAGATGTTTCCAAATTTGCCCATCTCACATTTCTTTTGAGCTCCTGAAATTCTGCTTTGCTCATAGAGCATAGCACCTTATTTGATGTGGGCACGCCGTACTGGGCAATCCTGTGCCAGTGTCTCCTATGTCTCGCAGATTCCAAAGTTCTTCAGAGAGAGGTATGGATATGTACCAAAGTAGAAGGCAGATGTCAATCAGGCAAATAGATGCAAAGCTGACCTACTATTGTTCCCATATTAAGTACAAAACCAGTGAGACAGATGTTGAATATTCAATCAACAAACACGTATTAAGCACCTACTATAAGTGCTAGGTGGCACTGCAGTGGATAGAGTAACAGAGACCACCAAAGGGCATCCTTTAGTGACCAGTTTGAGAAACTCAAGCAAATTCTGGAGATGAATGTATGGCCTCCTCAATGCAGAGACCCTAGCCTCCTGGCTGTTCCATGAACAATTCACTCCATCTCTCAGCTCTAGGCATTCTCTCTGGCTGTCCTCCATGCCTGGAACACTCCCCCTCCTCTGCTCCCACTGCTGCCCTCCCTGGCTTCCTTTAAGTCCCAATAAAAATCCCACCTTCTACTGGAAGCCTTCACCAACTGCTCTGAATTCTGGTGCCTTCCTCCCTTCATTATTTCCTATTTTATTTACATTTGTCTCTCTCCTCCCCCCCCCTTATATTGTGAGCTCTTTGAGGGCAAGAATTATCTTTTGCCTTTTTTCTGTATATGCCGAACTTAGCACATTGCCTGGCACATAGTAGGCACTTAAAAATGTTTGCTGATTGATTGCTTTATTGGCTAAGTGAAACAGTGGACTGGAAAATCCAATAGCCCACTCAATAGAGATCTATTAGTAGGCGGAAGAAAATACTGCAATGCGTGATAAGCTCAGGGAGACCATCCAGCAGAGGAAATAAGTAATTGAGGTCAAAATTAAAAAGTTCAAGGTGATGAAGCTGAGGAATTTAGCCCAGCAGGTTGTCAATTGTCACCAATCTCTAGAACAGTCAACAGACGTCACTAGCTCTGAGTCAAGCAGAGCACATCCTGCAGGAAAAAACGGTCGGGGCACGATTCCTATAATCTGCAAAGAACGTCATGGAGACGGCTGCCATGGCAACCACATCCTCTCAAGCTCTCTTCCCAGACATCAATTTTAATCATGCTTTTGAAAATTTTCCTTTAGACTCTTCCAGAGAAAAGAAAATGCCGGAGGGGCCGTATTACCAAACAACCCCCAACCCACCATCTTTTCATGAAGAGCCTGCATTGCCTTCCATTAAGGAAAGAATCGATACATGAAAAGGCATTTATTAAGCATTTACTATGTAGACAGCACTGTGCTAAAGCTCTGGAGATACAAAATGAAAGACAATTATTTATTTCAAGGAGCTTCCAGTACAATATGGAAGACAATACATAGGGAAGGATTCAGCTGCCAGACGTCCCATGGGAAAAGACTAGCTTTAGCATGTCTGAACTCTTAGGTAACCAACAATATTTGGCTAACAAGGACCCTCCTCCCCCCAGCCTAGCAGAGTACCATGTTTCTATTTTATCTAGAAGTGAAGTCAGGGCCTTTTTTAAACTAATATAACCTGAAAAGAGTTCAGTAGCTAGGAAGGCACTGTCCCCTCAAAGTCCAATGTGTCTTGGTTGTATGGTTCTAAATTCCCTCACCACTTAGGGCTCCCCCGCCCCTCACTCCCCAAAGTGAGGACCCGGCAGAGAAATCTGACCCAGTAAGGCTGAGATGGGGCATGCTGAGGTGTCCTGATGGCTGAGCCAGGCTGGTCTGGAACACAGAGCCTTTGGGGTCAGAGAAACCTGAGCCTGGGCAGAGATCCCCAGTGGTTCCCACAGAGCATACACTTACCACTCCCTCCACATCTGTCCCAGATAAACTCTTGGAGCTCTGGTCCTGATCAACACTGGAAACCTGTGGGGTTGAAAAAGAGAGAAAGGGTTAGTCAAAGGGAAAAAACACCATGTGCTGTTTCATTTTGATTAAAAAATTCAAACAGCAACACTAAAACCAAATACAGTTATCCCTTCCATATAGAGGGGTTGGGGGCGCAGTACCTCCCCCACAATCTGGAAAATCTGCATAAAATTTTTTGGCCCTCCCTTTGTACCAGAGAAGAAGTCTGATTTTTTTTTTCTTTCTCTTTGATGGGGTGTTTACAGGACCTTATTGTAAAATTTCCATCCATCTTATAGGATACTATACACATATTTTATGCATTTCTGAGTTTCCAAACTATTTCTGTGCCATCTGCCTTTTTGTATTGTCTGTGGCTTCTGCAAAACTCCTCAAAATTCCCATTTAATTTCTTATACCAACCCATGATACATTAAAACCACAATGGGCAAAGTTTGATACATTAAAACCACAATGGGCAAAGTTTTGATGTGGAAGGGATAACTGTAGTCTTTACCTAAGGCAATGCAGAGGAATCCAGTAAGGTGTTGAAGTAAGGGGGCTCTCATAGGTAGCCAACCTGCAGATGGGGCTACCCTTTGCCATTTGGTAGCATAGAAGGTTGGGGTAGCTATACATGGTGACCCACAACAAAATGCCGAATTGCCTCTTGGGGTGGGCGTTGCCCTTCACCCCCATGGGCAGGGGGAAATAACAGAGGGCAGCAGAAACAACTCAGGTCTGCCAGTAATCCAAGTGACCCCCACCCCTGCAGGGCAAGGCTCAAAAAAAAAAAAAAAAGGAAAGGGCATTGGAATCACAAACCAAAACAGGAGAACCTGTGAGCTTCATTTGCCTCCTCTAGGCAGGCAATTTGCCTTTTGCTGCCTCCTGGGCTTGAAGTGGAACTCTGCTACTTACTAGCTGTGTGACCTTGGGTAAGTGTCTCCCCCTCTCTGAGCCTGTTTCCTCATCTGCAAGATGGCAGACATAAAGCTAAATGGCCTCTGAGGTCCCTTCCAACTCTAGATCTAAGACCATCTGATTCTTATACAGGCTGATTCATTCAGGCTGGATCCTTGAACACACCAATGGTGAGCTCCATCAGGGTTCTCCATTCTCCTGGGAATCCAGAGACAGAAGAGCCATCTTCCTAGGGTCAAACTCATCTGTATTGTAAAAATGAAGGGCTCACTTAGATTTCTAAGGTCCCTTTCAGCTCAAAATCTGTGACTGTGATCCTATGATCCCTCTGGGCTGACCCCAGGGGAGGCATCGGAAGCCATAAAGGGTAAGATTCAAAAAACCCCAACCTTCCTCATATGCCTCCCGTGGGTGATGCCCTGTGCCTGCAACTCCAGCAGGTCCAAAGCTGCCCAAGGTCCCCTGCCTTGCACACACTTCAGCAAAGCCCCCTGCCCAGCCTTCTGGCTTCAGTGTTTGCCTGGGTAACAACACTAAGCCATATGGCCAGATTGAGATCAGCTCACCAGCACTGAGGCCAGTCTCTGCTGCCCATCTTTTTATGCTCAGCTGCCTGTCTTCATGAGGAATGACCAGGACCTGCTCAGGATGTACCATGACACAGCTGTTTCCACCCATGTGCTCATATGAGCCCTGTGCCCAGCTATGGGACCCAGAGACAGGCCCCACCTCTGGTACCCTATTGCCTGGGGAGAGAAATCAGTTGCCATTTGCTTATGATCCTCAGACCTGCTCCCACACATCTGGGCATCTGGAACATCCCCTACTTCTGTGCAGAGGTGGGGGGCTATGGGTGTGGATCATTGTAAACAATGTCAGATTTTTTTGATATGTTGGTTAGCTTTGCTGTTTTTTGTTCTCCCTCTTTATTCTTTGTCATAAGGGATGACTCTCTGGAAGAGGAAGAGGGCAGGAGTACATTGAGAAATGTAGCTAATAGGAAAACAAAAGATAGCAGTTTACTTTTAAAAATCTTAATGTCTGAGAAGGGAATGGGGGGGGTACCTCTGTGTTTTCCCTGGCTTCAGCCCAGATAGCTTTAATCTCTCCTACTGATGAACATGAACACAGACACACAGATACACACACACACACACACACACACACCCCTCTATTCCACTAGGGCCACGACCCAAACAGTTAGAGGATCCTAGAGCTAAAAGGGACTTTACATGGAGTCCAAGTGCCATATTTTACAGAGATGGAAACTGAGGCACAGAGAGATTAAGTGATTTGCTCAAGATCACATGTAGGCTCCTATAGCTAGAGCTAAAAGCAACATCAGAAGCCATCTCATCCAATCCTTTCATTTGCAGAGGAAGAAACTGAGACCCAGGGAAATAAAATCGTTTGACCAGGCTCAAACAGCTAGTGTCTGAGGCAGGATTTGAAATCCAGCCTTCCCAACTGCACACCCAGTGTTCTACCCAGTGAACCACTCAGCCTCTCTCTGCTTTAAAATCATTGACTGGAGATTTAGAAGAACCCTAGGAAGGCTTTGTTTGAAGCCTGCCTTTGCATATCATTGGAGAAAAAGGGGATATATTAAGCATACGAATATATTTCAATAAGTTTGAAAGGAGAATATTTCCCTATGTAGAAAAAAACCCAAAGCCCTTTTTCAGGTCTGAGGAGACCCCCCCCCCACACCCCTTCCCCGGCTTGCAAACAAAGGAGCTGCTTAGGCTGGCTATGACACTGGTTCAAAGAAATGTCTAAAAATGATGTTTTTTGTGCGTTGTTATAAAATGGTAAACATCTCTGGAACAGACAGTCCAAATGGGAAAAAAAAATGGAAAGGGACATGGACTGCATTGCTTTCAGATAATTATCAGGCTCCTTTCCTTTCTCCCCGTTTCCCATGGAAACCAAGGTTCGTCATTTGAATGCAGCCATTCTATAGGGTGCAGCAGGCGGTAAGCCAGCAAGACATGGAACACAGCCGTCTCCAAGAACAGCAGGCGAGCATCACCCAGGGAACTCGAGAGATGCCTGGAGGCTGTGAGATAGCTGCTGCTACATACTCATCGAGGAGCTCCCAAGGAGAAATAAGATAGAAATCGAAGATAGAAATTACAATGGATTGTTAGTCTATTCATCACCTTGGGCCTCTCCTAGGTGATATTTCACAGAAGATCATAATCTCAGAGTTGGGAGGGGGCTCAGAAAGCAGCCAGTCCACCTGCTGAGTCACCAACCTCAGTTCTATTCAAAGAACTGTTACAAAGGCTGAGATTAGCCTGGCACCTAATGAGCACTATCTTTCTGAGATTCAGTTCAAATAAACAATAGCAAACATTGATTAAATGTCAATGGTGCTAGGTATTGCAGTGAAAAGCATGCTGGATTTGGAATCGGTGGACTCTCACAGTCTACGGGACCATTAGACCCTCACTTCAGTCAAATGAGATGACCTACAAAGGTCCTCCTAGCCCCACATTTATGATCCTACAAATTACTTTATCTCTTTGGGCTTCAGTTTCCTCTTCTATAAAATAATAGCTAGCAATGATAGACAACCTTAAGGCTCCAAATATTATTTCATTTTATTCGTGTAACAACCCTGGAGGTGCTATTATTGTCCGCATTTTATAGATGAGGAAACTGAAGCAGGTGGAGGTGAAGTGACTTGCCCAGGGTCACACCGCTAGTAAGTAAGTATAGGAGGCCATATCTGAACTCAAGTCTTCCTGATTCCAGGTCCAGTGTTGTATCCCCTGTGCCACCCCAGATGCTTGATCCTTAGACTAGATCCAACTAGAATGGCTTCTGAGGTCCTTTTTGACTCTTAATCTATGATCCTATAAGTGACTTTCTTCTTGCTGATGGTAATAATAATAATAACAATATCAATCATAATAGCATTGTAGTAAGAGCTTTTTACAAATATCATCTCCTTTGATCCTCATGACAACCCCAGAAGACAGTGGAATTCATCTTGAATCGCAATGCTAGCTTTTCATCCCCAGGAAGCCCCCTGCATAGTCTGGAAACATCCCTCTGATTGTAAGCTGCCTTGTAAAGAAACAAATTGGAACTGGCTGCTTTCACATGTTGTGATGGACAAGATAGTAGCCATTGTGTTGGATTTTAACAGAAGATTATACTTGCAGGGATGTAGAATTTTTTTTAAACAAAAAGGCTCTCTGCCAGACTGTGAGGGTCCTTTTAGGGGGTGGGGAGTAATGAAGTCTGACTAATAAACAGTAACTTGGTGTAAGCGACCCATGGGTCACAGACTGTCCTTAAGAATGATCCTAGTGAAAAAAAAAAAAAAGAATGATCCTAGTGGCAGCTAGGTATTGCAGTGGATAGAGAGCACAGGTCCTGGAGTCTAGAAGACCTGAGCTCAAATCTGGCCTCAGACACATGATACTTACTAGCTGTGTGACCCTAGACAAGTCACTTAACCTCGATTACTTAAAAATTCTATATCCCTGCAAGTATAATCTGTGTTTAGCAGAGCTTCATTTCTCTTGGTCCTTAAAGAGGGTGAGGGTAGAGGGAGGCTGAGAAAGGCAATGAAGCCTTGGACTGATTGAATTGATTCAATTTCTGCTATTAGCTGTTAATAATTTGGATTATTTATGTTTATAAATGAGACACAAAGTAAACAGTATCTGTAGACACTTATCTGTAGATAAGCTTCCTTATAAGTGATACAGAGGAGAACTAGTCCTTTAAATTTTGCTGCATTTTCAAAAAAAAAAAAGGTGTTCCTATTGAAATGACACTAAATTTTTCTAAGTCTTAAGAAACCTTCATACAACACCTTGGCATTTTGAAAAAGGTTAGTAGCAACATACTTATTTTCTTTTTGTTTTTGAAACTTGTTTGTAAATATAAACACATCCTTTTATTAAAATAATAACAATAACCTCCCAATTTTACAGATGAGGAAACTGAGAAAGGTTAACTGACTAACCCAAAGTCACACAACTAGGCAGTATGTGAGGCCATATTTGAATGAAAGTCTTCTGGATTCCAGGCCCATACTCTGTGCACTGCAGCACCCCCTAGGGGCCTATATTTCTAGTCCTGTATTGTGACCTTGAGAATCTCACTTTGTCTTTTTGGGTGGGCCTTGGTTTCTTCATCTGTAAAATGAATGTACTTTAACTCTCCTTTCACCTTTAAATTTATCATCCTGTAATCTATAATACACAAATATAAAGAAAAGGAAAGCCATCTCCCACCACCCCCACCCCCAAGGAGCCCCCCACTTCCATGGATCTTACTCTGACTAAATCTATCTAATTCTCCACATGCAAGAGTTTATAAGTCTGACAGGGAAGGTCTGTACTTTTAATTCCATTTCTCACAGAAAATTAATAATTGGTCTAAGAACTTATGGGCCAGAAATACCCTTCTGTAACATCATCTATATAACGGGCCTAGCTAAGGGAAAAAAAGTATAAGGCTGCTTTCTTACCTGCAAGGTTCCAGATTTCTCAGTAGGGTCATCCTGGGAAGAGTCTCCCAGGACTGAGTCCAGCATAAAGATGCTTTCGTGAGACAAGGATTTGTTCCCCATGTTGCCTTTGGACCTGGAAACAAGAGAAAAGTCTCTCAGAACTGTGAGGTAGATCACCTCACACTCAAGGCAGAGTGAGGCTCTCCCAGAAGGCAATGGGGCACTTTCCTGGTGATCCATGGGAAAATGGCGGGAAAACTGTGTTTGCAACAGCAGTAGCAGCCTGAGCCCCAGCAAATGTCCCACCTTAATCTGAGCAGGTTGCCACTCTCCGCAACAAAGTAAGCAAAATATTCCCAGGCTCCCTCTCAAGGAGCCCTCCTCTGATTAGTCCTGTGACATACACACTCATATTGGTTCTCTGTTTCTCTGAGACCAGCCCTATTTAGGTGAAAGTCATGGAAATGATCCCCTTCCATGCAGGTCAATTCACTTGGAAAAGCTAGGAAAACATTTCCATAATTCTAGTTTGTGCTCCAAATACGAATTTGCCATCTTAGAAATATATACCAAAGGGGAAGCTAGGTGGCACAGTGGATAGAGCACCAGCCCTGGAGTCAGGAGGACCTGAGTTCGAATCTGACCTCAGACACATAACACTCACTAGCTGTGTGACTCTGGGCAAGTCACTGAACTCCATTGCTTATGAAAGAAAGAAAGAAAGAGAAGGAAGGAAGGAAGGAAAGAAAGAAAGAAAGAAAGAAAGAAAGAAAGAAAGAAAGAAAGAAAGAAAGAAAGAAAGAAAGAAAGAAAGAAAGAAAGAAAGAAAGAAAGAAAGAAAGAGAAGGGAAAAAGAAATGTATACCACAATCCCAAGAGGATCCTGGGCCAGAAAACTCAAAATGCAATTTAACCCCAATGTTGAAAAAATAACAAATAGTTACACCAACATAATTTGTTAGGGCAAAATACGTGCTTAGCAATTGAAATGTTAAAAAAAAAACTATGGTACACAAATGCAATGCACTATAAGAAATGGGGAAACTGAAGAATTCCCAGGATCATAGGGAGATATTGAAGGATAAAGCAGAGCAAAGAAAGTCACTTAAACTCTCTATACCTCCGTTTCATCCTCTGTAAAATGAAGGCACTACATGGCCTCTAGACCTAAGATCCTAGATGTGACTTTGGGTAAGAGACTTCCCCTCCCTGTGCCTAAGTTTGCTTTTCTGTAAAATGAGGAATTTGGACTAGAGGGCCTCTGAGGGCCCCTCCAACTCTGAATCCAAGTGCTTCCTACTCAATGAAACCTTCCCTGACCCTCCCTTCCCACCTCCAACTCAAAATCATCTCTCCCTCCTCACATTATTCATAATATTTTGCCTAGCTCATTGCTCCAGCTATTATTGTGCATAAAAATCCACTAAATTTCCTTGATAAACCATGCTTTCCCTTAGGTCAACTGAGAATCCAGTTGCAGAAACCTAATCTTTCCCTAGGGCAGCTAGGTGATGCTGCAGTAAATAGAGCACCAGGCCTGGAGTCAGGAAGATGAGTCTTCCTGAGTTCAAATCCAGCCTCTGACACCTACTAGTTGTGTGGCCCTGGGCAAGTCACTTTACCTTCTTTGCCTCAGTTTCCTCATCTGTAAAATGAGCTGGAAAAGAGAATGGCAAACCACTCCTGTTTTGGTTTTTTGGGTTTTTTGGGGTTTTTGCCAAGAAAACCCCAACTGGGGTCACAAAGAGTCAGACACAATTGACTAACAACTGAACAACAATCTTTCCCTACTGAACGCTAACCAAGGTGGTCAGAAAATAAGCATCTTATATTAGACCCATGGCTACTCAGTGCTTAGTGAAGGCTGCCTGCTCCTGCAGAAACTTGGAAAGAATATAAGTCCAAGGACAATACCCAACATTCAATTGTACATATTAAAAAACCAAACCTAGGAATTGGATTTGTACAACAGTATGAAGGCTAAGAAGGCTGGCTGCAAAGTCTCTATGCCTACCTTCCCAGCTGGTAGGTAATAGCTTTAAAAAATCCCACCTGAATTCCCTCCTCTTGCCTCTGGAGTGCTATTTTCTAACCTTTCCACTAAGAAAGGTACCAGGATAAGGTGTGTTGTGCTCTTTCTTGCTTGATGTCTTGCCAACTAACCCTAAAGGCATGCCATCTCCAATCATCCTGATAGACATCTGGCCACTGGACTCAGATGGCTCTGAAGGAGAAAGTGAGGCCGGTGACCTTCCACAGCCCTCCCTCACGCCAATCAAAGTCAATTGCAAGACATGTCATCATCTCCCAGATGTCATGGTCCTCTTCAAGAATGAAGAACAAACCATACACAACAAAATTGAAATCTTAGCTAAGATCTAGCTCAATTTTCTAGAAAATTGTGTGTCCCCACCCTGCCCCGCCCTAATCCGCTGACACATGTAGATAGGCACACCTTGACACACTGGCCTCCTAGGAATAGACAATGCTTCAAGATCATTTCTTTAGGGGACAATAGACAACAAAGTACAGCTTGAGACCAATGAGACCTCTTCTAACTGGAGATCAATCATCCTGGCTTTTTTTTTTTCCTTTTTTAAAAAAATCCTCAACTCACCAAACACCAAACAAAATGGGCAGTTGCATATACATAATATAACAGAAGAGGCCCACACACAGACTTTGGTTCTCCAACATATACAGTTTGCTTTTCTTTCAAATACATCATAAATTCGATATAGCTTTCAGAGTTGTCCTGCTTGACTGTGATTCTTTCTGTTTTCTGTAGATTTTTTAAAAAGAGAATCCAGTGATCCTCTTTCTTTTCTTTTTTCTTCTTTTCTTTTTTTTTGGGGGGGGTTGTTTTGTTTCCTACCCTATCTCTATTCTACTTAACCCTTTCACCCACTACAACTGGAAAAAAGCAAAACAACACCTCTGTAACAAATATGCAGCTGACTGAAAAAAAAATTCCTGTATTAACCATTTTGGAAAAAGCATGTCTTATTCTGCAGGTCTCAATGACCCTAGGTGGGACCTTGGGCAAGTCATTTCCTCTCTGGGTCTCAGCTTCCTCCTACATAAAATGAGGAAAATGGCTTCTGATCCTATGTCTTTTTTTTTCCTTTGTGAGGAGGAAAGGAAGGAATGGAAGGAGAGAGGGAAGGAAATATGGAGGAAAGAGAAAGAAAGGAGGAAAGGGAAAGGGCCTTTCAATGAGCTGAGGATGTTGCTCTGGTACCAAATCACAAGTCATGGGCTCTGTTTTCCATCCCCCAGTAATCCCCATTTGGCTTTTATGCCATTTGGTATAATGAATCAGCCAAAAGAAACTCCCAGCATCTCTGGTTGTTGGAGGAGAAAGAGAAGAGATTTTTTTTTCCTATTTTGCTTCTATTTTCGTTGCCAAGGAGAATGACCTTTGGAATGGAAATGACAGAACTAGAATGGCTAACAGGGAGTTTATACCTAACATGAGAAAAGAAATAAGAGAGCCTCTAGTCCCTCTTGATGACTTCAAGTCACCTAGCTGAGACAACTTTCCCCAGATCCTGAAAGAATGTGTATTTGTGATTATTGGGCCACTAGTAGTGATACATAAAAGATTCTGGGACCATATGGAACTGCAGGACCACGGAACTAGAAAGGGGCAAGTGTCCTGATTTTGTGAAAAGGGGAATAGAACAGTCTGAAAATCCTGGGTCAGTGAGCCTGACTGATTCCTGAGGAAATTTTAGAATGGATTATTAAAGGTATTGTCGGTGAACGTATAGAAAAGGAAGCAGTGATCACAAGGATCCTGCATGGCTTCGTTAAGACATAGGTCATGGTCAATCCAACCCCATCTCTTTCTTTCACAGGATTACTAAACAGGGAGATGTTATCCTTATTTTAAAGTGAGAAAACTGAAGCTCAGAAAAGTGAAAGGATTTCTTCATGGTCATCCAATGACTCAGTATCAGAAACCTGGATTTGAAACCAGATTGACTTGATTCCATGTCCAGGACCCTAACCACTTCACAGCACTGCCTGTCATCTGTCTCTGGACTCCTTGACACCAGGCTGGGCTAAGCAGCTGAGATGATTCTTAAGTAACAGGGAAGGGAAGTATATAAGATTGGAACCTTGATATGAGGCCCCCAGAAGAGTCAAGGCCCCCTCTCCTCCTTATGGAAGCAGACTTGATCTTGGCATTTACACTTCCCTTGACTTACCCTGAATGAATTAAGGAATGAAACACCCCAAGCTCTGAAATGGAGATGTTACTGCTGGACTGGCTAGTTTGCAGGTTGTTCCTTCTCGGGACCTTAGGAAATATCTTCTTTTTGGAAAAAAAGTCCTTGAAAGTCTGAAGTTTGGATTTTTTCCCTCCTGGAAAGCAGAATATGGGAGAGGGAGGAATACCATCACAGCAGAGACTAGCATGATGCACAGAGTACAATTGCTTCCCTGCCCCATTTGCTAGCTTTCAGGCCCGTCCTAATCATTCACTGACCAAGCCTGAGCCTCTCTAGGGAAAGCAGAGGTCCCAATATCCAGGACCTGAACCTTAAGATGCTTCTATTCTGGCCCCCATCCTAGTGCCTCATGTTTCTCTAAGCTTCCATTATTGACACCACCTGTCCAAAGTGGCAGGCAAAGAGATGTTGCTGTCCAGTTAGTGATATCTGTGCTATTAGACTGCACCAAGTGCTTAATTCCCTGCTATACCCCTTCCCTCCTCTCACTCCGAAATCCTTACTGCTTGGTTAGCCCCACCCTAGGGCCTGATAGCATTAAAATCTAACTGAAAATAAACAATGTATGCACAGGAAAAAATATTTTCAATGCAAATTATTGATGTATAGAGGCTCTGAGTCAGAAGAGACCTTAGGAAACTAATCCAACTCATACCTGCTACAGGAACACCCTAACTAATGGTCATCCGTATTCTGCTTAAATACTTAGAGTGTTAGGTAGCTCCCACTACCTCTGAAGGTAAGGGTTCATTCCTCACCCCTAAACCCCCACCTCCAAATGCTAAGTGTATCAATAAAAACTTAATAATCCTCCTAGAATGTAAGCCTCCTGAGGACAAGAACTATTTCCTTTTTGTCTCTGTATCCCCAGTACCTGGCACAATGCCTGGGGCACACTGCTTGATTTTTTTAGACTGCAACAGCTATCCTAATGGGGTGACTGGGTGGCCACAGGATCAGCCCTGTCCCATCCCCCTTCTGCCACTTGGGGCCATGGCTGACTTCAGGTCATCAACACATTCCCCAACCAGACCAGGGTGGGTCTTACTGTGACTGGTAGGAGGGAGAAAGGAGAGGCATACCCTAAAGGCTATGCCTTCTTCCTCCCATCACTACCCCTCCCCCAGCCCCAGTGTTCTTCCCATCTGGCATCATCTTCAGGCTCCAATACAAACCTTTGGCCCCCTCAGTGCTTAATCACCCCACCCTGGGCTCTGCCCTGCTATTTACCCCAGAGACCTCCCTTAGTCAGCCCCAGTTCCTATGAGAAAGATGTCTGTGTTTCTTCTAGAACAGAAATGTTACTTTGGTCCATTATATGCAAAAAGACTTTGCCATCACCTGTGTACAAGTGGGGAAAGGGCGAGGAGGTACCCAACATAGGAAGTAGCCCTTTAGCCCTTAGCAGCAGAAAAGGAATCAGAGAGACCCTCTGCATAAAAGAAAGAGGAGACTGAAGTGTCAGAGCAGGACTATGAGATGTCCCTAGGGGTCTGCATATGTAAGAGGCCCTACCCCCACAGTGGACTTAACATGCACTAGTTTGCAAGAGAATCCATTTGTTGGTTGGATGCAGGTGGTGCTAACCCAAAGGTAACCATGAAATAAATTTCAAATGGAAAAAACAGCTACTTACCTGAAAAAATGTCACTGGTTTCACCAGCGTCAACAAACCTCAAAATTTCATAGCTGAATTGGGCCTCATTGATAACTTGAGGCTCACGGGGATCATGGGATCCTTGGGGCTCAAGGATCTTACAGTCCTTACCATCTGGAGCTTCTTGGGCCTCCTGGCTTTCTCTGGCCTCATCGGTCTCTTGGGCTTTATGGATGCCTTGGATCTCAAGGATCCTAGAAGGCTCTTGGAACTCATGGACCTCCTCTGTCTTAAGACTCTGGAAGATTTCATTTGACTTCAGAGCCATAAGATAGTCACTAAAAGTGGAGAGAAAAAAAGGTAATTCCATGAATTCTAAACTTCTTCATGGACACTCAAAAAAGGCCAATGAAATAATCTTTTCCTCAGGAAAAAGAACTATTTTCAGCAAGGTGAATCAAGAAAGTGTAGCCCACCATTCCAGACAGTAGCCTCCCTAGCTTTGTGTTGGGGTGCTGGGGAGCAAAGCACACCAATCATTACTATTCAGAATCATGCCAAGGAACTCTAAACTCTCTCTAGCAACAAAACTGATAACTCTTCTCTGGGGCCAAGCTTGGTCATGATAATCACGCAGAGCTCAGTTTCCTGGTTGCGTTCCTTCCTTTTACATCATTGTAGTCATTGAGTATATGGTTTTCCTGGCTGTGCTTCCTTCACTCTGCATCATTTCAAAATAGTCTTCCCACGGTTTTCTGATTTTTTTTTTTTTTGCGGTCATTGTTTCTTATGGCAGAGTAATGTTCCCATACCACAATTTGATTAGCTATCTCTTAATTGGTGGGCATCTGCTTTGTGTTCAGCTCTTTGCTACAACAAAAAGTGCTGCCATAAATAGTTTGGGGCTTTGGGGACCTTTCTGTCTTTTGACCTCTTTTGGGTATATGCCCACCTAGCACTAGGATCTCTGGGTCAAAGGGTTTGAACATTTTGGTCACTTTTAAAAGAATTCCAAATTACTTTCCAGAATAGTTGGACCAGTTCACAGCTCCACCAACAATACATTAGTGTGCATGTGCATTTACGTGTGTCTGTAAACTCTTATATGTGGACTCTTTCACTCCTTCTGATATCAAGTCTATTGTTTTTATCTCCAGAGCATCTCTCACATACAGCCCCACTCCTATTCGAAGCCCCATTCAAATCACCTCTTGCCAGGGCTATTACCATAATCTGCTAATTGATAAACCAGCTTCAAGTTTCTCCCCTCTCTATTGCATTCTCCATTCAGCTTCCCAAGTGGCATTCTTAAACCCCTGACCTGACTACATAACTAGACTTCTTTCATCTCCTCCAAAATGACTAGCACAGTGTCAGGCAAACAGTACGTAATCAACGTGCCTTTATTCTTTAATTCTAGTGGAAGGTGGGAGAAGCTAGTAACAATGGCCTCAGAGAACAGTCATGGGCATCAGATGCCTCCTCAGGTCTCGTCAGTTGTTTGGCAGGTGACATTGCTCCTGGCGGCTGATGTCTGTGTGCCAGGGGTCCATCTCATTGACTAGCCTCTTGCCTCCCAGCAACTACACCCAGCTCTGCTCCTTTCTTCTCCATGAATTTATGTCTCAGTCAGTCAGTTAACAAACATTTATATTAAGTAACAGCTATGCCCCAGGCACCCTGCCCAGGCATTAAGAAATCAAAAACAAAAATTAAAATAGTCCTTGCCCACAAAGAGCTTGTATTCTAAGGGGGGGGGGGATGACATGTGTGTGTGTGAATAACATGAATAATGACAAAGTGAGAGAGTCATCCACTTAGCTCCTGTAAGGTTGTCATGTCCTTATATCATGGGAGATGATGCCCCTTGGGAAGCTGGACTACTGCAGAACCTTGGTAGCTTAACCGACCAGATCAGATGGGGTTCCTGAGGAGAGCAGAGCCTGAGACCGCCACTTCTATCTGATTCCCAGGGAACCATGGAGCTCATTAACAACTGTCCAGATCCACTGCAACTTTTTTTTTAGCATGAATTATTGTTTGCCTAGAATGTGTTTGTGATATTCTATTAATACCTGTGGCACCATACCAGGTACTCCAGACTATTCATCTGACTGAGAGTAGGTGTGGGCAAACAGAAGGGATAGTAGTCATGGTTTCATAGAATCACAGATCTAGAGTTGGAAAGGACTTCAGAGGTCATCTAGTCCAACCACCTTATTTTACAGAGTGGGAAACTGAGGCCCAGGGAGAGGAAGGGACTTACCCAGGGCCACAGAGGTAGTAAGTGGCAGAGCTGAGATTCCAGCTTGGGTCATCTGACTGCACACCCACTACACCATTCCCCCTCCTCTGAGGGTACAGAAAGGAGCCGCGGAGTGTGAAATGTGAGAACCACTGTCTTTTCAGCCCTCCTCTGCAGGAAGGCCACTGGCTATCCAAAGACCAAGCAGGAAATGGAGGCTTTCACTCCCCCCAAAAAAATAACAGGAGACCTTTCACTTCAGTTCCAAGGTCCCCAAATGGTACTGTACCAATAGGCATCAGGAAGTCTGAATCTGCAGAGATAGCCCCTTTCATTATCAAGGCATTAGTGAAATATTCCTTCCCTCAGTCTCTGTCTCTTTGGGGCCACTCCAGCAGCTTATCATCCCATGTTTCCCCCTTTTCCTGACTGCCTTGGGAGCTGACCAAGGCGGGAAGAAGAAGAAAAACAAGGGACCATCTTCCGAGCCCCACCGCGGCTGCAATGCTTTCCTAACGGCCTGGTTCAGGTTCAAGGATTCCAGGACCTCTCCTGCTCCACTAGGGCCCCACCCCCCAGCATGGGCCTGCTAATGGGAAGCAGCTGTCCTGGGCCTGCTCCTCTTAAAGCAGTGGGGGGGGGGATGTTTTCTATTGAGTCCAACAAGCTTCATCTCAAAGTGGGGGAGAAGGGCAAAGGGGAGGAAATTTGGACACTGGACAGCAACTATCCTCCAGGATAATCAGGGGTTCTCTGGGGCAGCCTTCTTCTATCTAGAGGAGGGCATAGCAGCCATCTAAGGTGCTAGACTTGGTAGCATGACCCTCATGGGGATTGACCAGCATCCTCTCACCCAACTCCTAATGTCCTGTGCCTAAACAGGTAAATCTACCACAGTCATCCCCCTGTGCCCGGGCAGCTCAGGCCAGCCAGCAAGAAAGACTCCCCAGAGTAGGCCAGCCAAATCCCCAAGGCACCCAAGACACTAAGCAGAGATAGCCCCCCTCTAACCCTGAGTCTAGGAAAAGGTACTGATCAAATGTTGAGTTTTGTCCTCTGGGGCAGTCCCTCCCTGATGGCATGCTTGAGGTCTGCTTGGGATCTGATCACCACCCTCCTCCCTCCCCAAGAGACTGACAAAGTAGGATGTGCTTTCCTATCTCCTCTGACCTCTAAAGTTGCCCTGGATGGGCCACCCCAATGCCCATTTCAGCCATTACCAGCCAGGAGTTATTGTTGGACTTGCAGGTTCTTAAAACTGGAAACCAAAAAAAAAAAAAAAAAAAGAATGCACCTGAGGTTTTTTCCCTGGGGGACCTCTCCCAAGAAGTCACTCTGCAGGCAACCTCCCTGTAAGCTCCAAGTCAAGCAGAGGAGAACCGGAAATGTCCAACCCCTATCTCAGTGATGCAGCAAAAGCAGAGCCAGGCATCTCTCCTCTTTCTCTTCACCCAGTCCCAAAGATCTCCCCACTGACCTAAAACCTCCGTCTGTCACACCTTTGGGCTAGTAACAACCACCATGGCGTACAGCTGCAAAGCTTCAGTGAGTCCAAGAAGCAGCGGTGTCAGCGGTGGAAAGTACCAGAGCAAGCGATCGAATCATAGACCCTAAAGCTGGGAGGAGCCTGAGGGGGCACATAGTCCCATCCCCTCATTTTACAGAGGAGGAAACTGAGGCCCAGAGATGGGAAGGGACTTGTTCAAGATCATTCCTACGAGCAGAGAGCTGGAGCTAGCAGGGACTTTAGAAGCCATCAGCCTGTTTCTTCCTCCATAAAACCTCCCAAAGTAGTTACGGGGACCAGATGAGATATTATATGTAAAGTGCTTTGTAAGCCTTCAAGTAAGTGCCAGATAAATGCTAGGTATTACTATTGTGTAGTATTATTATTATTAATGTTCTAGTCCAACCCCATTATACAGAGAAGGAAACTGAGGCCCCAAAAAAGGAAGTGACTTGTCCAAGATTACACATAGGATCATAAATATAAGGCTGGGAGGGACCTCAGAAGCCATCTAGTCCAAATTCTCATTTTACAAGTTATTAAATGGCAGACCTGAAATTCGAACTCAGGTACTTTGTTTTCAAACCCAGACTTCTTTCTACTGCAGCATGCTGCCTCCATTTTACAGATGATGAAACTGAGGTTCAGAGAAGTAAAAGGACTTGCCACTGAGTACACAACAGATCTGGGATTCAAGCCCAGGCCTTGTGGTTCCCAAGGGTAGCAATTCCCTGTATTAAGAGAGGTGAGGAGGGGGGCAGAAGTGATCTGCAACTCTGGAGTGGGTTATCTGTCTCTGTCTCTTTCTTTGTCTTCCTGTCTCTCTCTGTCTCCCTCTCCTTCCCCCACCTCCTCTTGCTTTCTCTCAATCTCTGTCTCTGTCACTCCCAACACACACACACACACACACACACCCCTTATGCTTTGGTCTCAGGGCTGTCCACCACGGACACAACCTACTGGCTTTAAACCCAGAGCCCAAGTCATCCTTCCATTCCCCTGAGGATGGCCTGAATGGGGGCTGTCCCTACCCAGACATGTCTAGCCCCTCCTAACCCCAGGTCTTCCTGGTTTTGCTACAGGTTAGGAAGCAGTTCCATATTATGATTGCCCCATTTAGAAGTGAGCAGGACATGGGGCAGATAGGTGGTGCAGTGGATAGAGCACCGGCCTTGAAGTCAGGAGGACCCGAGTTCAAATCGGGCCTCAGACCAAACACTTGACATTTACTAGCTGTGTGACCCTGGGCAAGTCACTTAACCCCAATTGCCTAAAAAAGCAAAAAAAAAAAAAAGTGAGCGGGGCAGAGTGAAGGCATCTTTCCCAAGAAATTCTCAAAATTGACTGATCACTGACATTTTATAGTTTTCACTTTTTTACAAAACCTTTGCATAAATGATCTCAGTTGTCAGGTGAGCATTACTATCTTCATTTTACAGATGAGGAAACTGAGTCAAAGAAAGGCTAAGTGATTTGTCCATCACACAGCCAACTAGTGTAACCCAGCTCTTCCTGATTCCTGACCTCCCCGTGCTGCCTCTCAAAGACTGAGTCTCTAAGAGGTTAGATAACTTGTTTACAGTCAC